TGGAGACAGAGAGAGAGACAGACAGGTGGAGACAGAGAGAGAGAGACAGGTGGAGACAGAGAGAGAGACAGACAGTTGGAGACAGAGAGAGAGACAGACAGGGGGAGAGAGAGAGAGAGGGGGGGAGACAGAGAGAGAGAGACAGACAGGTGGAGACAGAGAGAGTAACAGGTGGAGACAGAGAGAGAGAGAGAGAGAGAGAGAGAGAGAGAGAGAGAGAGAGAGAGAGAGAGAGAGAGAGGACAGAAGGTGGGAGGATGGAGGAAGATAATGGATTCTCTACTAACAAATGCACTGCCCGAGGTACTTGTAGACCGGGGAGGGCAGGGATAAGAAAAGATCGAAAGTGAGGGGAAGGCTGCAACGACGAAAAAAAGGACAACACTGAGACAGGGGAAGCATGAACTGATAGGGAGCAATAGAGCATAACAGAGGAGACATTCAAGAACTAGTCAATGTGAAAAGAAAACAAGAGAACGGAGAGTAATCAGGGAGAGATGTACTCAGTAAGTTCTGGCCAGGGGCTGATGAGGGCTCTGTGGAAATAACTGAACAGATGAACAGAAGAAAGGGGAGGAAGGAAAGACAGCAGAGACAACAGATGAGCCGAGAGAACAGGCAGAGTGACAGACGAGGAGACAGTATGACAAATGATGGCCGAGGCAATGCAAGATGAGTAGCGCGGTTAAATATTTCACCGGGGTTTGTTTGTGCTTTTGTGTGCCGGTGTGTGTGTGCATGGGATTGAGAGTCCCTGGGAGAAAGAAAGGAGGACAGAGCAGCAGGGAGCGAGCGAACGAGTAAAGTGTGCCTGTTGACTGGTCCAGTTAATGATTCCTGCGGCCTGAATAGTGACACAGTGTTACTCCAGGAGGGAGGGAGGGAGGGAGGAGGCTCATTTACCCCCTGCTGACATACACATGCCACATTGTTTTATTTAGTTTGTATGTGTGTCCTTGGCTTGTTTTGATACCCTGTCAGCCATGGAGATTCCTAAAATGCTCAGAGCAGAAACATCACCTCATTACAAGTTTAGCAATGCAAGAATCCCTATTTGGGCTACATCTAGAAACATGGAGCACTATTAAGCAGAAGTGTGCCTGCCTGTGTTTGAATGGGTTGACCACCTGTATGCAGATGAATGGATGTGAATAGGGGGACATGCCTTTGTGGTGCCAGAGATGGAGCAGCTTGGCGGAGTGTACCGCTATGAGCCAGAGGGGCGAGGGCCCACGGGAGGCCGGGGATAAAGGGACAGAGGGCAGCAGGGTGACAAGCTGTCCATGTGTAGATGAAACAATGCCAAGTGTTAACAAGCCTAAGCTAGCGGTAATGACAGAGGCTGGGTGAACAAAAGGCAACTATTTAAAATGCAATATGTGATCAACTAGAGTCAATGAGGAGCATATTACGGTGATTTAGCCCCTTTAAGGCTCATACCCTTTTCAATAGTTGATCTTCCCGATGACCTTTTTTTTTCAATAACAGCTAAGGCTATTCTCTGAGGGAGAGGTTCAGAAGGATGGGCACCAATTGCACATCAGCAGCTGAGGCAAAGGCAGAGGCTCCAGGGCACGACGAGTGATGACGTGATAAGTCAGGACAAAAAAAGAGGCAGAAATGTATTCAACAGGATAAAATCTCCTGCTTTCCACACCAGCAACAATAAAGACAGCAGCGGGGATCAGAGCACTCCTACACAACCTACAACTTTAATAAAAGCCTGTGCAAGCACATACATGTGTATATGTTCATACAACTGCCTTAAGCACTAAGCAGTTTCTCTACCATCCCTGTTTGGTTCTTGTTATGTTTAGGTGTGGCTGACGCCCATGTGTTTCCATGAGCCTCTCATCTATAACACCCTACTTTTAAAGTTTCACTCCAACTCGTGGTTTGATTTACTCTCTCGTCTCTATTAAACACTCCTGCTATATATCTCTGTGTGTTTCAGAAAAACTTCAAATTTCGAGACAGCGATCCCTGACCAACTCTGATCCCTGCCTGAGGCCAACAGGATGAGTGGAGAGGAAGAAGTGAAGGAAATAAGCAAGACTGAGAATTTAATAGACTAAGGGGACTCCTTTTTTCTAAATAGCTGCCTCCCACATATCCTTAACCCTTTTTTCTAACCGTGCTGATAATTTTTTCCCCCTCTGAAACCATCTGTTTTTGTTTTCATGTATCTTTTCACTCCCCACAACTCATCTATATCTGAAAGAAAAGTATTTGCCAAGGTTGAGAGAGTAGGAAAGAAAAAAATCAGGTATTGTCAGGTACAGGTAGCGCTATACACACTCTGTTTTTTCTACTTAATTACGCAAGTTATGTAATTGTGGGATTTCCATAGCATGTTGAACAACTCATGCCAGAAACTGTGACGCCTGGACACGTAATACCTAGGAAATAAACAATGCAATTCCTCTTTGCTGAGAAGTGTATAGCTGTCAGGTCTTCCCCAGACTTCCTTTAATCCACTTTTAGAGCTGTCGAGCTTTCCTTTCGTCTCCAACACTTTTCTTCTGTGAGTTTCTTTTTTGAGCCATCAAGTTTTCTCTGCTTTACTGTCATCCGCAGAAGCCCCGGTCTTCCCTGTCTGTATCTATGGGCTGTGGGAGGATTAAGTCTCAAACTGAGAGTCGATCATAGTTTCTATAGCTACAACACAATCATAAGAGCCAGCAGAGAAGACCTAAATGTTTGTTTGCGTGTGTGTAGATGTATATATGCATACATGAGGGATCCCTGCCACCTGACGCTTGGCTGCAGCAGCAGAGAGGAGGTGTATTTGTGGGTTGTGAATTTCTAAATGTGTGTTTCTGTCTTGTAACAGGGCTGGTTATGTATTATGAGAGGAGCCCATGTTAGACCCGCGGAAGTCTGCTGGCAACGAGAGCAACTGACAGTGACTCCTAGTCGGTTGTGTCGGCCTCTGTGTGGGAACCGGGGTTCCTGTTGCTGGTAGTCTGAAGGCCGTGAATCACTCGCTAGTTTTGGAGCTGCTGTAACAGTATTTGCATTTCAGTCATTCCTTAGAGGAAATCAATACTTATGTTTAAAGCAGTTTCTGGTGTCAGTAGTGAAGAGGTGGGCTTACAGGAATAGCTACTTGTATATATGAAATCACCAATAGGTTTTAGATAAGGAGAATTTATTGGTAGCTAGGCTTGTTCACATTACTCTTGATCACGCATCACTTCCTCACCCCTCTTCCTCCTCATTTCCCGTCATTTTTGGCGAGACATTAATGAACGGAAAATCACCCTCAGCCGTGATTTACCCCCACTGTCTACGGGGTCTGTGTGAGTGTGTGTGTCTGAGTGTGTGTGATCCTCTCAGAGTGCCAGGACGTGTGTCTGCTTGCCCAGCGAAGCCTAGGGACAGTTAGACACTCAGCTTGTCTGCACATACTCACACACACATTCACACACAATGCTGTTACTATGCAGCTATGAACCATGCTAACCGAGGTTGGGGTCCATCCCTGCCCAAGGGAAGCCCTCTCCTGCTGGGGCCTCAATCCCGCTGACACCCTGTGGTCTGGACTTTATCCACACCATCTGTGAGGTTGTTTTCTAAACGTACCTGTCTGGGGACGCGGCTAAGCAGAGACCAGAAGATTAGATTGGCTGATAAGAGGGTAATAATTATTTATTATCTTGCTAAATGTAATTAGCACTACAGCGGTCCTACACAACAACAGCCTGCAAGAACGCACGTCTCTTTGCAGAAGATTCTCAAATAAACACTGGGACACATTTCTTGTTAGTATGTTATATGTTCAAGTTATGTCATACAGAAGAAAGTGCAGCCACATATTTACTGCTCGGTTCCAAAGTTCATGTCAACAAACAGTTTTTAACAATGCATTTTATTGCAATGAAAATAGTAGTTGACAAACTTGTATTACAACACACAATAACCAGCTAACAACTCAATACAAAACATTTGCGACATACAGTGTGTCACAACATAATGCAACACAGCTAATTAGCAAAACATTGCATTGTTACAGCATGAACAAAACAATAACAACAAGAAAATACACCACCATAACACAGTGGCTGTCGAAAACCACTTTAATCAATTTTTAAGTAATTATTTTTAAATGTAAAACGAATTTCCTTGTTTTTAAATGAATCCTTCCTCACTACATTTCAGATGTGAATACTGTACTTTGTACTCCACTAGACAAAAGCAAGTTACTACTAAGTTACATTTAAAATGTTAGTTTGAACACTGTATGTTTTTGATTGCTGGACATTGACTAGTAAAAGACTATTTATAATGAAGAAAATGTGTTTTACTTGATCTAAATAATGCATTTGAAATATATTCTGTGATCACTCACCTCTGCAAATTGTATTTTTGTTAAATGTCCTTATTGTATGGTAGCCTTTAATAAATAAAATGTGTTGATCATTGGTGCTTATTAAGTCTCTCAAAAATCTATTCCATACTGTAGAGATAAGCCTATCAGTTGTTTTTTTAATCTATTAACATTTTCACTTTTTTTGTTCATAATGTCTTATCCTATCAGCCCAATATGACACAGTGGCTTACATATATTTGTTATTCTTCTAAGATGTTAATATTATAATCGTAGTAGAGTTGTTTTTGTGTTTTTTATGTTCCTGCTTTAGAGTGGGAGCAGCTGGAGGAGCGTCTCCAGTGGCTGCTGTAGGCTGGGCATTCAGATTTTGTCTTAATGCTATTGGCTGGCACTATATCGGGGGGTGGAGTGTATGCTCCACAAAACAGACAAGTTGCGCTTCTGTGAACCACTGAAGAGTTGCCACAGTATTTGATGAACTGCATCACTTGATCTGCCTTCATTGCTACTAAAGGGCTTTCAATCCGTTGTTGTTGTTGTTTTTCGGTGCGCGTATTTACGCATTAAAAACTTCAATAACAGAAGCGTTTTTTTCAATTAGCGCTTATTTAGTTTCACTCAAGCGTCCTTTGGAGAACAGGAGATATGGAGTTGGTGTATCTGATGTGTTTGGCGCTGAGCATCGGTGCTTGGTTCGCTTGTGCAGAGAGGCACAGCGTCTACTGGAACGGCTCGAACCCAAAGTAAGTGCGGATCTGTGATTTTGTGCGCAATTTGGCTATATGTCGTGTGTGCGAGTGATAGTGTATGTGGCTCAAATTGTATGTAGTTCAGTCTCAGTCATTCACTGCTCTGTCTGTGTGATTGTGTGTATTTCCCGATGTTTCAAGTGATCTGATTTATTTGACATGTCATGTGAAGCTTCTATATTGTAGACATTGTGTCATTAAGGCCCGGAGGCTGTTTATACTCTCTAAAGGCTACAACTGGCAAAGCTTTTTGTTGTTTTCATTCAGGTGACAATTAAAGGTGCATGAGACGGTTTAGGTGTGAGGTCTACCTTTTTAACTCGCCTAAAAGGATTATGCTCAGACTGTAGCAGCGGGGTTTAAAAGCAGAAGACTGTGAGCAGGATGCCAAGACAGATGGACAGATTCTCCACTATATTTAACCGCAACACATACACAGACATGTACTCCAATAGTAGAAAATAGCCTGACGAGTATGAACTTGGCCTATGAGGCTGTCTGTAGGGTCTGCACCTGTGTGTGTGTGTGTGTGTGTGTGTGTGTGTGTGTGTGTGTGTGTGTGTGTGTGTGTGTGTGTGTGTGTGTGTGTGTGTGTGTGTGTGTGTGTGTGTGTGTGTCAGAGTGAGAGGCAGATATTGCTGATTACTTTGTTTTGAGGTCAGAAATGTAATGCTATCCTACCACTCAGTGGGATCGATGGAGCTTGACAGACGCGCAATATCGCGGTGCGATTTATTGAGCTTTTAGCGTGGAGCGAGTGATCCCCCCCCCACGCTTCAAATACAGTATTATTTTATAACTGAGCTGAAACAGAAGGACGGTCCCCGGCCGATCCTCTGCTCCCGAGATAGGTCGATTAAAACCCGCCACCGAGACTAAACAAGGGCAAAAGCCATTATGGCCTTTTAGCCTTTGTCTTGATTACATTACTGGCTCAGGCTCTCTAATTGCCCTTTAAGAATGATAATAGACGCGGAGCGAAACAAAAAATAGCCCCTGCTACAAGGAATACAATTGTCTTGATAATTGGATAAGAGGAGTCTAATGGAAAGTCCTGTCGTCAGAGCAGTGCTTGTGTCATGGGTTAGTCCATGTGTGACTCACAGGCTGGGGTTGGACCCACCTGAGTTTTACACCCGAGTCACCACACACAGAGGCAAAGAACTTTGGTTTAGGTGAGACAGAAAGAAAAGGTAGAAGAGAAATGTGAAACCAGAGGCTCTTTGGTCTGGAGAGAGAGGAAACTGGAGCTTCAAGTTTTAGTTCAAATAATAAAGGATAATGAATACAAAAAGAGGGCAGGGATGGAGACCCGGGTGGTCCGCCATCTCTAATCCATCCCTGAACTATTTATGAGAGTTGTATAACGAAAAATCATAAGTCTAATCTCTTTTGTCTAAACATAGACCCTGACACAGACAGATATAAACTTCACATTCAACAATTAAGACTCCCCACAAATGTCTGCTTGTACTCCAGTTGAAACCTTTCACTTTCCCATTCCCTAATGCTCACTCAAAAGGATAATGACATATAAGCCAAAATGAAACTATAATCGGCTGACCCCTACATGCCACTTGTATTATATATGTTATGACATTGTACAGTCTGATCTCCACAACTCCAATCCCTAATTCCCCCCCTTAACCTCCCCCTTAACATTACCTCTCACTTCTGTCTCTTGTCCTCTCTTTTTCCATCATCTCCCTTTATCTTCTGGACTCCTGCTTGCTAGCTAAAAGCCCACTTGCCCCAAATCGTTCCCCAGTGATCAATCAGTCACCTGTTCGAAAGGATCATGTTGATCCATCAGCAGGGCTTAGACGGCACCGGGCCGTGGATAATTGATGCTTGATTCTAATGATTGAGAAGCTGTGATTTGTCTTAGTAGGAGGACAGTGACCAGATGGCAGCATTCTGCCCATTCATGTAGTTGAATATAGAGATGTGAAGTACACTGACAGCAGCTGAGGACTGTGTTTGTGTGTGTAGGGGTGTGTTTGATTTTCACTAACTTGTCAGTACAGTTTCATGTAATCCTATACTTCAAGTCTTAAAGGGATTTAATACGTGTGCATGTTTACAGATTTCCTATAGCTGACAGGTGGAAAGCATGTTTTTCTCAGTCTGGTCCAATCTTGTTTTTAGACTACATGTCTCTGCCTGGGTCGTGTGTGTGTGTGTGTGTGTGTGTGTGTGTGTGTGTGTGTGTGTGTGTGTGTGTGTGTGTGTGTGTGTGTGTGTGTGTGTGTGTGTGTGTGTGTGTGTGTGTGTGTGTGTGTGTGTGTGTGTGTGTGTGTGTGTGTGTGTGTGTGTGTGTGTGACTTGTTGAACTTGTGATGCCCTTTACCAGCCTTTAACGGGAAGTGGTTTTGTTTTTGTTTTGGAGAGTACGTGATTATTAGTGTGTCTCCTAGTGAGTGTGTGCTTGCTCCAACGTCAGAGTGAAATAAGGAGTGGCCGTACCCGTAAGCAGCCTAACCGAGACACGATAAATGTGTGACTCACACTTACACACTCTGGGGGGCAAGAGAGGGAGAACTTGTGTTAATATTAGCTACAGCCAGCATTCCACCCCGCTGTTACTATACTCACCTCAGCTGCGTTTGAGTGTGTGTGTGTGTGTGTGTGTGTGTGTGTGTGTGTGTGTGTGTGTGTGTGTGTGTGTGTGTGTTTTCTCACTGTACCTGTCTCTTCCTCTCCCCATCTTCACTCCTTTTACTCACTTAAACAGCTGGGACTCCTCCCAGAGTGGCCGCTGGCCCTGAGCCCTCAATCTCTTTTTTTCTACTTACTGGTTCAAGTGCATTTAATATCTCCAGTTTTCAGCACAGATGTGGAAGCACAGCCTCCTTTATTACCGTTATCTCTGTGTTATTTGGCGGCTTTCATCCATCTAGAGTGGCCCGGGTTTATTTCCCATGCTCCTTGGTATCCGTGCAAATATCTTTATCAGGAGTTTGGTGTAATGTAATATTCTGTTTATCTCCCTCTGTGTCTGGCTCTGTCTGCTTTGCTGTTATTGAAGCAGCCAGGCCTGCCTCGACACGTAGATTTTGCCTGGAGNACACAATTATGCACACGTGTACCTAACAGCCATGCATGTGTACACACACACACACACACACACACACACACACACACACACACACACACACACACACACTGTGTGTGTGTGTGTGTGTGTGTGTGTGTGTGTGTGTGTGTGTGTGTGTGTGTGTGTGTACACATGCATGGCTGTTAGGTACACGTGTGCATAATTGTGTTCATATGTGCATGTACTGCATGTTCATGTCAGCATTTGAGTAAGAAAGAGAGTGTTTGCTTCCCTCCAGGCAGAAGATTGCTCGGTTATTATGCTGTGCATCTCTTATGACCTTCTTTCATAAAGCCAAAAATAAAATTGATCAGACTGCAGCTGAGGAGGTCTTAAAGTTCATGCAGAATTTGTTCTCTCTTTGAATATAAAGTGAGTCATAAGCTCCTCCTGTACTATCATTTTGAAAAGACAAATTCAAAATGAGCAGCTCTGAGAGAACATCTTAATCTCGCAGCACTACAATACAGAACAATAGCTTTGTCATGTTTATTGCTTATTGGCTACAGTAATAATTTAGCACCTTTGGGCCAAGCGTCTCATTATTGCTTTTACTTGGAGACTCTTGAGTAATTCCTCATATAGAAAAAGCTGCCACACTGCAAAGGCGTGTTGTTTGGTGAAAGACATTAATATATGATGTGATTGGCTTCTCTTTCCTAGAAAATGTTACATTGTTCTAGAAACATCAGTTTATAAATATACCATGGCATTATACATTACAGATTGTAATGTGTGTGCACTCTCTAAGCTAATTTAATATGAATCCAGAATTTCCTCACATTAAAACGTACTAGCTTGCAGTCTTCTTTTACGATACCTTCATATCTTGGCATGTTACTACAGCTGTCATTAGAATAGTTAGATAACATTATTAGGATGGTGTAACCATGTAACCCACAAACAGCTCCAACAGGCCCTAAACTTCACAGAGAACCTTTAAGAGTAATGATCGTTTATTGTAATGCTGCACAACAAGCATCATTCTCAAAGTGTGGAAATACTCCTGCAATGGTTTGGCCTCTGTCCAGTGGCGTGACTATCGACGGTGCAGCCGGTGCAACGCACCGGGGCCCAGAGCCGGCAAGGGACCCATGCAAAAAAAATTAAAATAAAATAAATAAAAATGTTGGGGCCCCAATGGCATTGACCGGTTCACGTAGTCTTCAAAGTAACCAAGCAACCTAAATTAATTTGTAATTTGTCTGTCCAATGACCTTGCTCCCTTTCATGTCATGTGATACCTTGTGTGACGAGCGAACCGTTTAATCGACCTGTACTGTACTGTATAGATGCAGCAAGTTCGGTAGCATTATAAAAAATGTAATATCTTGCATTTATAATGTAGAGCAAACCAAAGCACAAGCGCAGCGCTCAAAAGAGAAAGGACAAGAGAGAACAAGGAGATGTAACAGCTAAACTTGATTTTGGCAGAGCTCAAAAAGAAAACTCGAAAGGGATGAGTTATCGTTATTACAACGTGACTTCACAATTATATAACAACTCTTTTTATTGGGTTCTTTTATTTGGGGTTAAGTACATTGTCAGAATAAGTGAGAAATGAATTTAACTTCTGCTAGACAGCTATCATACTGAATACATATTTACTGTGAATGCATGCAAAAATGTATGGCATATAGCTGTCTAACAGAAGTTAAATTAATTTCTCACTTATTCTGAAAATGTACTTAACCCCAAATAAAAGAACCCAATAAAAAGAGTTGTTAAATAATAGTGAAGTCACGTTGTAATAACAATAACTCATCTCTCCCGGTTTTTTGTGTTCTTTTTCTGCTTTGCCAAACGACAATGTGTGAAGTGTCCTATTAGAGTTGCCGTANCTTTTGGCAAAGCTCAAAAATAAAACGAGACAGAAATGAGTTAGACAGCCATATGC